ACACACACACACACACACACACACACACACACACAAACACATTCACACACACAAGCACATACATACACATACACACATGCGTGCACATACACACAAACACACATTCATGCACCCAGATAATGTTACATGCGCACACCTACACAAGCTTTTTGCTGGCCGTTTCATTTCAGATCCTAGTTCATTGAACCCACAAAGTGTTAAGGACGACATTAAGTCGTTGAATGCAGACAATTTTAAAACCTGTTTTGCTTGACTGAGAATGAAAATAACGTTGGTGACAATATAAGGGTACACTTCTCTCTCGTGAGGTGCTTTGGGTTGCGTTCTTTGTAAGTGTGAGATCGTAATCGTGGGCACGAGACATTTCATGCAACTGATTCTTGATTCTTCTCATTCTTTATTCAGCACGTATAGGTAATGCAACTATACGAACATGGTTATCTTACTGAGTTTGGCGTAATGTTGCAGTGATGACACTGTTTGTATTTTGTTGCTTTTTTGGTCACCATAATCATAATTTGTCTTGAAGAACATATTTTTATCTTTCTTGAATAAATGTTATATTCCAGCAAATCAGAATTCAGATGGAATATAGAGACTCATGATTTTTGCAGTGAAAACGTAACTCATTCTAATAAATTAGTATGCGTTTTATATATGCTTTGTTCAAAGTACAAAATAATATATAAGATCCAGTCTGTCAATCCGCACGTCGCTCTCCCTGTTCACATGTTTGTTCATCATTTTTTTTTACCCGTATGGAAGTCCTTACTGGCTTTATTTAACCAGCATATCTTCAATGCTTGTATTTTTACGCCCCCATCGACACACTTTAGATCATATATAAGAAGCGAGCTTCCGATCCCACATGCCACGACCAACCTGGGAAGAGAGGAATACAACATCCCAGAAGAAAAATGAAGCTGCTCGATGAAAATGTATCCCCACTCGCGAATCGAATTCGATTCTCCTGTGTGCGACAGCGTACCGGCTAAGCGCTACACCACAGTCACCGGTTTTGTCGTAATTGGGCAAAGTATGACTCCTGAAGGTGCACAAAACATATCTGCCAGTGGTTTTAAGATACCTATTTTTTTTTTCAACACACGAGTATCTATTTCCCGTTTCATAACACCGCGTGTTGCGTTTTCCGGCGTCCCATGTGACGCCTTTACTATGCAAAGGACACGTACCCTCAGGGTGATTTAAAAAAAAACTTTACAACTTTTTGGGGGTTAATATTGTGTTCCTCCAAACTGAAGTTTTGTGTTTCAAATGTGTACACAAAAGAATTTGTCTGATACATGTATTCATTGTAGACAAGCCGACAGAATAGTTTCGCTGTACATAGCGCTTAAAAAAACAACCTATTTTCAGCTATGCCCCCATCTTTGTACCGTGACGCATTCGTTTGCATTAGGCCTACCACCAAAAGTCCCAAAGATTTGGCCATATTGCAAGCTATAGTAGTCTAACAAGCCAACAGAAGATTGCAGATAGTTTCTCTCAAGTTTCCTTTGCCGGCAGAGATCATGGTTAATATTAGTAAACAGCAGAAAGCTTTTTGCATTGTGGATTACCTCACCCACATCTCATTACGTAAGTTTCGCACAAGTTGGGGAAATAATGTTAAAGTGCTCCAAAGGCCTCCTTTGATGTCTAGGGTGGAAGTGTTCTATCAGTTAGGACCTGTAGAGAATCAAAACGGAAAATTCCTAGACATGAATAAGAGAATAACAATGTGTTCATGATTCCTCGATCGTCTTGAAAAGAGTGAGCATTTCCTCTATGACATTTATTTGGTTCCTTGGCAAAATCCAGATTCACCTTTCAGGATAATAATGTGTAACTCCACAGAAATAACTGCATACTGTAGTGAAAGGTACACTGTGTGTGTGGCTTTGAGTACTCATGGTTGGGTGGATCCTTGTGTTTGGCCACCACTGACCATTAAAATGTATCGAATCCAAAGAACATGAAATATAGCATGGTTTCTTGGAATTCCAGAAATTAAAAAATATTTTTAGACTCTGTAAAAGAAAAGAAATATTGCTTAAATGTAACAAGGATGGAAGGATCAGGTTTTAAAAAGAACAGGAATGGAAAAAACAAACAAACCAATCATTTCATGACTCTCCTTACAAGATCTTTTAAATTAATTTATTTTGTATTTATTTCTTGTTTTTATAAAAACCATTTCCATTTTCGAAAACAAGTTTCTTCTTTATGAATTTTATGTTAAACAAATCCCATTTGAATTGATTCTTTGTGGTCCAAATTACACCATTCTAGTACACATTACACATTTTGTGCGAATATTCAGAAAAAAGTTATTGTCATTTGGATCAGTATTTTCAAGAACCTTTCCATTCCACTAAAGATGCACTCAGAAACCACAGCCTCGAAAATACGTTTGTCATGAGCACGTTTCTGGCCATTCTCGACTACTTGTGCTGAACGTATTGTTCTTCTTCCCTTTTGGGTGCAATAAAACATTTAAAATATCACACCTCTTAATGTGTAAAGTAAGAACATAGTTTATGAACGCATTTATATTCCATTTGTGTAGCATTCAAAGCCGGTTAAAGTATACAGCCTAACAGTAACCCATAAATGATACATTGTGCTCTGACTGATCATCCATCTATATATAATAATATATTTTTACTTTTTAAAAAACTTTTTCATCCTCTGTTGCTGTTAAGCGTCGAGGGGAAATGCAGTTTTCTATGGTAGGCCAGCTCCGCAGCTCTTTCAGTTGTGATATTATGTTTTCTTAGGGTTTCCTTGCGTGGCCTTCCTCTTCCTTTATAGCCTGAGTGCTTGGTGTTGTATGCTCTGGAGACTGGCTGGTCAGGTGACCAGCATAACAGGTGGCCAATTCATTTTATCCTCTGTCTTTCTATGTAACGCAGGCAGGACTCAGTGCTGATAGCTGCTCTTACTTCTTCATTTCTCTGCCTGTCTCGTCTTATGATCTTAAGGGTTTTGCGGACACATTTCATTTCCCATGCAGTGATTTTGCTTTCATGGGTTTTGCTTAAGGTCCAGGTCTGGAATTGATAACATAATGTTGGTATGAATATTGAGGTGATAAACTGTCTCTTCGTGTCCATGGAGATGTTAGGATGAGATAGTAAGGGTGCGAACTGGTAGGTGACAGCGTTGGTTTTTGAGTTCGCATTTCTATTTCTTTGTCTATGGAGCCGTTTTCAGAAAAAGTGTTGTCAAGATATTTAAACTCCTTCACCTGTTTCGGTTGTTTACTATTGACTTGTATATCAGGGTACTATGGTTTCGGCTCACTTTCATAACTTCTCTTTTTGATGTGCTATTTTCATATTGTATTTCTCACAGGTGTTGTTGAGTTCGGTAGTGTGATTTTGGAGGCTTTGTTGGTCATAATGAATAAGGCATTGGTCGTCTGCGAACAGAAATTCTTTTAGGCTTTCTGGGCTTTGGTTTGCATCTTGCGTTATTGTGTCCATATAAATTATGAACCGGATTTTCTTATGTTAGTCGTGGTTTTTCCCCTGTTCTTATTTGTTTGCTTTACATTGTTGGTTGTGAGAGTAAATATCACAGGTCTGTGGTCGGTGTCGATGATGTAGTTTGGAACCGCTCTCGAATCTTTGGCTGTATGACTTTGTTTTCTGCTCATCAGGGTGAAATCAATTTGCTATGCATGGTTCAGGTAACTCCATTTGTACCAGGTCTTGATTTGGCGTTGTCCATGTTGGAAAAATATGTTCGTAATCATCATGTCGTGCTAAGCGCTCAGGTTTAGTATCATTTCTCCATTGCTGTTGCAGTCTGTATCTTTATCGTAGTGGGTCCCAAGTACTCTTCCCATGGGGGTCTTCTTCGTCCAACTCTGCCATTTAAAGCTCCCAAGATAAATATATATTTTTTGTTCTTGATGGTGTTAATATGGTCACACGGGTCTTGGAAATATGATTGTCTATCTTCCTCTGTATAGCATTCGTTACAAGGAGCGTATGTTTGGATGTACGTTGTTGTTTTGCCACCCTCTTTGAATTTTATGCTTACTATTCTCTCTGAGATCTGATTGATTTCACAGACTGTATCTATTTTGGCTGGGTGTATGATGAAAGCTACACCTTGTTTGGGTCTCTCATTTTCAGGTGTTCCACTCCAGATAAGGAGGTAGCCTTTATGGGTCAGCTTCCTGTTGTTGCCTCTCTTCGTTATGTCTGACAAGCCCATGATCTCTATTTTCTATCTTTCCATGAAATTCACTATTTCTGGTTCTTTGTCTCCAAGTCCGCTGACATTCCATGTGCCTATTTAAATCGTTGTTCTAGCTCGATGTCCGTTTACTTTTCCTGGTCGTTTTCCGTTTGAATCTGACCGTGTTTTCTCATTTGATTGTTTCGTTGCAGTAATTATCCGCCGTTGGCTTGCCAGGCCAGTCACGGTTTCACCAGAGTCCCTTTAGCCAGCAACGTTTCGGGGTGACCTGAGTCGGCCTTCACGGCTAGAGTAACGCCTCAGTGACATAAAGTAACACCCTACTTCCCCCAGACCCAGTTGATAATAATATTATACATGTATTATGTCGTTAATAATAATATATCTTTTTAAAAATTACTTGTGTTGGATTTTAAAGAATACCTTCAGCAACGGTGCTATGCAAAACTTTCCAGATTTTGGTTCTGTTATATACAATTAATGTTCTTTCACCTTCTGTGTTACGTTTCATAGATGGCTAAAGTGGCATCAGTAGCCTAGTGGTTAGGCTACCGGATACGTTATACGGAGCGCCCATTGGGGGATCGTGCGGCGGCCTCGATTTTGACAGAATTGAAAAAACAGTTTAAAAAAAAAAGAACCTATAACTTGCTATAATCGCACCCGTATGCGATCGCTTTTGTAGTGACGTACTCGTGCTCAGCAAACCATTCAGCTTGTACAAAGAACTCTTGAGTTTATCCCATACAACTGTTATTGTCGTTTTTGTAGTTGTTGTTGTTGCTGTTGTCGCTGTTGCTATTGTGGTTTTCGATCCAACAACAGCTGGGCTTTCGCCCCTCTGTCTAACGGTATGCAATGATCAATGCAGGTCTGCTGCAGTTACTTTTGGTTCCATTGAGTGTGAGGTCTGTGTTTGGTTCTGGAAGGAGAAGTAAAGCTCTCAGGTCAAATAGGCATGTGCAGTCTCGCCTCATACGCGTAGTCACAAGAAGGACACCTTGGGGGGAAGTTCTGGTTTTATTCTGTGTAAGTTAAAGTGGAACTGTGTAATTATGTTCTGTTCGCAGGCGTATGATCGTGGTCTGTCCTTCTCCCAGAAGGTGGTTGATACTGTCTTTTCGTTTCGTCCTTGTCATATGTTTGAAAACCGCTCTGTGTGTCGTTCTTAGGGCTCACCTGTTCATCCAGGTTTGTTGTTGCTTTTAATGCTTTGTTATGAAGTGTTATATGAAGTTTACATTTTGAGCTGTTCCAGTCTAGACCCCCTTATGGTTAGTCTACCATCTAGTTCAACTGCCGTTGGACCAGCATCTTTAGTGAAATGATTAGGATCTTTGCTGAAACATGCAGAACACTTAAATTCGATTTGCGCTCAGTTTAATTCACATTATAGAGTAAAAACACACAACAAACGATCTTGTCATCAGTTTAACTTATGAATATTTTCGCCGAAAGGGTGAGATTAGTCATAGTAATATGATCGCAGCGATATCATCACATGTCTTTTTTGCATTTACTTAGACAAAACATTTTCTACCCCATCAGTCTATCATCGAAACCTTCTATAATTTCTTGAGCTCGACTTCGCCAAAGACGTACTACTATTGGGTATCGACGCCGCGGTTTACCAAACTCGACAAGGGATTTGACACCAGAAAAGGCCTCTCGTGAAAAATTAGTATTGCCAGGGCTTCCTTCACCATGGTCAAGTCCAACGCTTCTTCAAGCCCCAGAAATTACACACTAATACCGGACAGTTTAGACTCTGATAGGAACTCAGAGGTCATGTCTAGTAATGGAAGGTACGTTCACCATCCTGAGAGTGTCCCTTTGCACGATGTTATCGTAGATAACGGTACCAACACAGCAACTGTTGGTGGTAAGAATGAAGTACCTACCGGGCGCCCTACAACCGAGGAAAGCGAACTTTATGAAAACGAGGCCAGTTCAGAAGATGATGGCGTTGTCTCAAGGGACAAGTGGGGGAGGAAAGTCGAGTACATCTTGTCCATGGTTGGCTACTGCGTCGGACTTGGCAACGTGTGGCGTTTTCCCTACGTGTGTATCAGGAACGGCGGAGGTAAGTAATCGACCAACAATCATTAATCTATCTTTAACTGGAATTGTATATGTTAATGTTTTACTGGTGTCTGTGATGCAAGGCAAGCTAAGCGCTTCGTTGTTGCACACTGGAGACCTGAGTTCGATTCTAAAGTGGAGCTTATATATTTTTTCGAGTATCTTGGTTTTTCTGCTGGGATGTTGTATCCTCAGCACGGGTGGCCCTGACATGAAGGGTCTGAAGCCCACTTCTTAAATGGTCTAAATTGTGTCCATTATTTGTAAAAATGTTTTACTTCCTTATCAAATTATTTGAGATTATTCAAGAGATGGGCTGCCACTACCCTGCCTGTCAGTGACACCATGCCTGAAAGGAATACAATGTCCCAAAAGACAAACTTTGCTACTGGTAACGGAGAGCTTTTGTTTTTACCACAATAAATGTTTATTAGATTCATCGTTGCACCGAACTACTCAAAACATTAATTTGTTATAGACATAACATCTTTCTATATCCAGATGCTGCTGCAATGCTCTGCAACAATAATTCTGTTTTAAGGATACGCATATTATCTTAATATGGATAATACCAAGCTAGCTTTCTTCAGAACTGCAATGAGAATACTGTCAAACCTGTCGTAACTCCCACCTAAACAAACAGACACCAGACTCTTCTCATTTTTTGTGCCAATTATTTGTTTGTTATGATGACACTATGTAAAGCAGCCACCTGTCAAAGACAGCCACTTTTCTCAATGATGAGTAGCCAATTTGGACTGTATCTAAAAATGACCTTTAAAATTGCAGCTATTTTTCCAAATAGACACATTTTAATTTTCTTGTCTTTCGCAGGAGCCTTCCTGATTCCATTTTTCATTTGCCTGACGGTATGTGGATTGCCCCTTTATTTCCTGGAAGTGTCAATGGGGCAGTTTGTCAGCCTGAGCTCCTTTCATGTCTGGAATATTTGCCCGTTGTCTAAAGGTAGTTACGTCTTATTAAACATATAGAACAATGCAGACTTTCAATAAAGGATAATAAATGTTTTCATGTAAATTCAATATTTTAGCTGATATTGAGCACTAATGCAAATTAAAATCTCTTTCCTGTTTCGAACTTTACATCTGCGGCATAGAAAATAGCACCTTCATAACGACTGAAGATTAAGAAGCCTAAATTATGTAGGTAAAAACTACCTTAACAGATATTAGTAGAAGATAAACAGGCACGTGAGAAAAAACTAGATTACCAATAAAATCCCCTAACTTTCTCAGTTCACGGGAAACCAAAAGGCATGGATACATCTTCCGTAACTCTTAAGACATGTAAGTCCGGAATAAAGAGATAAATAGTATCGTAGTAGCTCTGACCAGCACATGAAGATCATGTAGCACTGATCAACAAAAAAGATATTATCATCAAGCGATTTAGAAACCTAAAATCTGAAACAACTAAAGGAAGCAACTTTTTGTTTGCTAATCTTAACATTCCTTTCAATGAAGTAACGTACGCGTTTAGGGAAGTTCACTAACGGTACTATGCAATTTATTTTTGTTTCAATGGTTTTTTTTCTCTTTTCCTTTTGTTTTCAGGTCTTGGCATCGCCATGAATGTGATGTCTTTGATTTGTGCCTGGTATTATTCAATGATTTTGGCCTGGACCCTTATCTACCTCGTTAACTGTTTTCAATCAACATTGCCATGGACTCAATGTGGACAATGGTGGAACACGGACAAATGCATGACGCCACAGGAACAGACGATTGGTAATAAAGGCGAAAACACAACAGTAGACGGGATTGCTGGCAATCTCACCAGTTTTGTTATATCTTACGGAAACGGGACTGCAGATTTACTGGGAAACGATACACTACTGAATTCCACACAGATCAGCATGAGAAACGACAGTGTCAGCTCTAGCGAGGAGTTTTGGATGTAAGCTTCAGTTTCTATCATTTTCACAGAAAATCTATCTATCTAGCCCTCTGTGTATCTATGTATCTATGTATCTATGTATGTATGTTTGTATGTATGTATATGTGTATGTATGTATGTATGTATGTATGTATGCATGAATGTATGTATGTATGTATGTATGTATGTATGTATGTATGTATGTATGTATGTATGTATGTATGTATGTATGTATGTATGTATGTATGTATGTATGTATGTATGTATGTATGTATGTATGTATGTATGTATGTATGTATGTATCTATTTATCTTAGGCTAAAACAGCACCTGGACATGGATGGCTGGTGCCTCTATGAATACATCATTGATGGTCATCTATCTATCTATTTATTAATCGATCTATCTATCTATCTATCTGTCTGACCATCTGGTTATTTTAAAATATAATAAGACGATAAGACGACTTTCTAGGGAAGGACTAAGAGGTCCACATACTGACCCTGAAACTCAGTGCAACAATAAAGGCGCGGTACTCTCAGGACTTTGATAATTTCCACCAAAACACAATCAGTTCCCCTTCTTTCTGGTGACGATCAGAGATTTCTAAACGGCAACTACAATACTCCAAACGTTACATAAACGAACTAGACAAACGCTTTTGTTCTCATTACATACAAAACTGTTCAAACAAAATCAAGGAGCTGGAAATCCTCAAAATAACAGGCCTATTAAATATCACAGTCGAAGGCAGCACAATTAATAAAGAAGAAGAGTGCAAATATCTGGGAAGTATTTTCACACAAGTTGCAAAGGCGAACAGAAGCATAGATACCAGAATAAAGAAGGCCAATGCTGTGACTTACAAACTGGCACCATTATTTTCCCAACCAAACATCACAATCGAAAGAAAACGCAAACTCTTATTTAAAAAGCACCCTTATCCTAACGCAGTGCTACTTAGCTAAAAATGGACAGCGAGCAAGTCACCAAAGTAAAGTAAATGCCTGGGAAACGAAATACATCAGAACAACATTAAATTAATATCTCTCAAGAAGAGACAGTGTGAGGGGCAAGATTGCCAGAGGGCATGTTGGCTCGACTCCCTTCTTGTTGTACATAAGTAAACCAACGGATACAACGGTTTGGATAATATATAATTGTTATATTACCTCCAGGCAGTCCAGCAATAAAAGCATACAGCCAGAGATACGATATTTACAAAGGGAGAGGTAAGCCCAGAGAAAGACAGAAAACGAGGCAGAGAAACATTAGATTAAAACAAATAACCATACAACAGGCGATAAACAAACAAGAGAAATACGTTGGCTTCTCCCTTCGACACCATAACGTAATATAGGCAGGAAAAAGTTAAAAGAGAAGTTAGCAGATGTCATTATCGATTCTTCTTTTGTTTACATTTTTTCTCCCCGAATCATCTCTTCTGCAGCCATAATGTCCTCCAACTGTCCTCTGGATTCACTGACATTGGCGGCATCCCCTGGCAATCTGGTGTCGCTCTGTTGGCCCAGGCAGTGGTTGTGTTTTTGTGTGTCATCAAGGGAGTCAACTCAGTCGGCAAGGTTCGTATCAGGATATAATCATACTACTAAAACGATTAGTTTGTTGGCCACGCACAGATTAATACTATTATAATCATGCTTTATTTCATACCCCTGCAGTGCGGTAAAAAATCGTGGTGCAATTTATCCTGACATATATCTTTAATGGGTGAATCAATGTCATCTGTACTGTGAGCAGCAGTTTGTATCAAATTTGTCTTAACTTAATAATTGATTTCCCACAACAATTGAGGCTATATTACAAAACATTTCTTCACAAATTTATATAAAATACTATAAATCGCCGTTCTCCCAGAAAATGGGATCGCTCACAGCACGTCCCGCTTCTCACATACATTATATAGATGCATATGGCTTACGTAACAGCTTACGAATGACAGATTTTATTGGCAAAACTTGTTACAAGAAATTAATTTCATATTGAACACATTTTTGCACTAAATTTTCTCAAAACATTATATTCAATAAAGATTGTGTCACGATTTAAAAAAACAACAAGACGGACTTGCTTTTAAAAGTGACATTGCCCCGTCTGTAAACCTTTTAAAATCAGTAGAAACCACTCACCTGAGTTTTTTTTTATTAGTATTTATTAGGGAATTTTCTAGATTACATAAATCACATATCTACACAAATATTGATCTTTTAAGAAAAATTGATACAAGTCACTGTGCAACAAGCTGGATAGTCCATGTTCGATAGTTTAAGAAATATTTGACGCTAAGTTGCGCCACGAATTTTTGACAGCACTATAATTATAATAATATAGTGCTCTCATGGGTTTTTAAGTAGTGCCATGGGCTTGCATTGTACTATCCTGGACCATGTACTTTGACGTACTTCTGGATCACTTTGGAACGTAAAATTTCGACCATATATAGAACAATAATATGTATGTATGTGGCTCTTAGAGAACTCGACTTTTGGGGGAATCGTGTTTTGTTCTTGATATGGGCGTGATGGCACGGAGATCTGTTTATTTTGTCTTCTGTTTGTTCGTTCGTTTGTTTTCGTTTGTTTGTTTGTATATATCTGTTAAATGGAGAAAGAAGAGCGGCAGACACAGCATTGTTCGATCCAGTGGTAAACAGTTTTCTAGGAACTCTTAAAAGATACTGATCGCCTGATCTTAGTGATCTAGATGGAACTTAAATCTGGATGAGATCACTAAGATAATCTCGAGGGAGCTTTGTTATTGACACATTTATGACATAATATTGCAATTTTATATGACTTTCCAGCTGATACAGGAAGCCAATGCAACGTTCTTAACATGGGAGTAATGTGGTCCCTCTTCTTTTTCTTTAGTACAAGCCTAGCAGCTTGATTTTGAAAACGTTGTAACTTGTGAAGAGTGGTATTTGGTAAGTTAGCTAGTAAAGCATTGCAATAATCGATGCGTGAAAACATGAAAGATGACACGAGCGTTTTCAACGAGTGTTCATCCAAAAACATAGACATATGACCAATTCTACGCAATTCACAAAATAAAATGGTACATAAATAATTGATATGAAGTTCCATTGACAATTTTGAATCAAAATACATTCCCAGATTCTTCGCTTTATTAGTAAAATACAATTTTTCATTTTCAGTACAAATATGATCAATGTCTACGGGGATATGGCTTTTCTTTGGGTTACATAAAAGAATTTCAGTTTTATTTTCATTAAGCTGGAGCTTATTATCAACCATCCACTTTTTGATTGCATCAATGCACAGACCCAGCGTCTTTACTTTGTATGTATTCGGTGTCTTGTATTGAAACTAAAAAAACAACAAAACAACAACAACCACAAAAACACCCATAAATTTATAGTTATCCCATCCGTGTGCTCGCCATTCTTTCCGTCTTCATGCCTCCTCTGAAAAAAATATTAGACCTATGAATGATCCATATGTTAAAGCGTATTGATAGGTTTTGGAGCAGCATACACACTGAAACGATACGCATTTTCAAAAGGGCAAAGTCCACTGAAATGCCTTAGTAAATTAAAATTGGGTAAATGAATCCGAAAGGTTGACATGACCGATCTCTCAATCATGGAAAAAAACGAACCAAAAATAACGGTAAGTCATAATCGTGGAAAATTACTAGATCACTGCGCACCACCAGTGGAATTTTAGTTGACACCAGGGGTTCTCTGCCTACAGCCTTATCTCATCGGAGTTACAGGGTCGATTTGCAAAGGTGTCTTGCTTCGGGTTTCCTTTAATGTGCATTGGCACCCCCATTGACAATGATCAGATCAGAGCTTCTAAACTCGGTTGATTTTTTTTCTTAAAAAAAAAAATAGCCTATCTACTTTCCATAGCCCAACTGCTTTGATAGCCCAACTGTTTTGAGTATAATATATATATATATATATATATATAACACAGATTATTTCAATGGAAATATTATTAAGTATGTAGATCTACCTGCTACGATAACAAAATATTGTATTCATGCGGCGTCTTCGTGCTTCTGACATCACTTGACTTATTACTAAACGTCCAACAAAGTCCTTTCTTACTCGAATTTTAACAAACAATCTATTAAATGTATATTTTAGTTTTGTTGGCACAAATGAAAATTGAATTGTAGATATAAAAGAGCCAAATAAAATATGCCGGGCCTTATGCCACCTGGAAACCAACACACACACACACACACACACACACACACACACACACACACACACACACACACACACACACACACTCTATCTCTCTCTCTCTCTCTCTCACTTTGACACCCCCCCTCTCTCTCTCTCTCTCTCTCTCTCTCTCTCACACATTGACACACACCCCCCTCTCTCTCTATCTCTCTCTCTCTCTCTCTCTCACTTTGACCCCCCCCCTCTCTCTCTCTCTCTCTCTCTCTCTCTCTCTCTCTCTCTTTGAAGTCGCTCTCGGTTTTCCTCTCTCCCTCCTCCTCAAATTACATAGCCCCTAGCTTCAGCGACTTGACTGAGGAATACAGCAACCTGATAATTTAGAAAACAAACGAAAAACCCCCAAACGAATCAAAACAGAACCAAAAAAAAACCAATAACAAAAAACCAAAAAAACAAAAACAAAAAAAGCGAACTAAATGATGTCAGACATAATTAGTATAACAAACTTCTCCTACTTCGTGTTCTGCTGGTGGCTGTTTTAATGCCCTGTTTTTCTGTTCTCACTAGCCATGTTAAGTCTATTGTTTCCCGGTCTTACATAAGTTATTATGCAATGGCGATCTCCAGCTCATATGCTTGCATATCAAACAAGCTCCCACATTAGTGAAAGATTGAATGGAGTGATGTTCCTAATGAAAGTTAGATTTGATTTTTTGCTAGCATTTTAATAGACATGTAAAAACCTTGCATTAGTCCTAGTTGTGTAGTGGTTTCGCATTTCGTTGCACAAAACTATGGTTATTCGGAAATGAGGTAGTTGAATCTTACATTATTATTCAAACCCTACAAATTTTGAACAAAACGTTGGAAACTATATTAACCTAAGGACTACTTTAACGTCTCTGCGTTGGTCCTAAATCGTTTGTTTTTTTTGTTCCCGTACCCATTTATAGTTTTCCCCAGTCAGTGACTATGTGACTATTATTATCATCACTTCGCGCTGCAAGTGGTCTCTTTGAATTCAATTTCCAGGCAATTATTCCGTTTTCTATTTATCTATTTTCTTTTATTATCTTTGGTAAATTTAAACCTGCATCGAAAAAAAAAAATTATTATATGAGAGGCGGGCTGCCGACCCTACTTGTCAGGACCAACCCTAGCTAAACGGGTTACAGTATCCTTGCAGAAAGAGCGAGATACTCGATAAAAATTATCCCTACTCGATAATCAATCTTGGATCTCCTGCGTGCGACAGCGAAGAGCCTAACCGCTACACCACAGATGCTGTCAGTTCGTTTTCAGAAAGTTGATCGGAATGCTCTCCCATATTAACACAATCGGCGCTTAGTTTTGACTAAAACATTCACTTTTTGGTCATTACTAGGTTGTGTATGTGACGGCCACACTTCCGTACATTTTGCTGACTATCCTTCTCATCAAAGGCGCAACATTGCCGGGTGCTTTAGACGGCGTCATCTTCTATCTGAAACCGGACTTCAGGTGAGAAAAACCACATCGTCTTATCTGCATAATCTATTGTAGGGGATGGGACGCATGAGAAAATGACAAAAGACTGTGCCAAATGGATATTCTTATATTGCAAATGCGATTCAAGTTGCACTGTATGCTTCCCCCCATGAAGCCTAGAATATTTCGGAGTACTAAAGAGTGCTGGAGTAACGATGGTTGTAAAACGCACAGTCTGCAGAGCGTGGGTTTGAGGTTTAAGACTACAGTGAGGTAAAGTTATTATTGATTAATATTATACTTTCTAGCGTGAGAGTTGGAAGGTTGGAGGGCGCCACTGGAAGGCTTCACCCCTTTACTGTTCCTCGTTTGTTTCTGTCTGTCTGTTTGTCTTACTTTTTTTCCAGCGCGAATTGATTATATTATGTGTCGATGGGCTTATCTTTCTTAAAATAAAACAAGTCATTCGGCGCCCGCGCGTTTCTGTATTATGTGTCTGTGCGTGTGTTTTGTGTTTGTGTATTTCTTTGTTTTGTTTATTTGTGTGTTTATATAT